ACCACATGGGGCCAGACGAAGAACGTGGTGAGCGGCGTGCTGTTCGGCACGGGCCTGTGGGTGGCCCTCATCATCACCATGCGCTACTCCCTCAAGGTGCTGCTGTCCTACCACGGCTGGATGTTTGACCCGCACGGCAAGATGAGCCGCACCACCAAGATCTGGATGGGATGGTGAAGGTGTTTTCCTGCCGGAAGCTCATGCTGTACAGCTTCTAGACCTCGCTGCCTCGCCTGCCCGTCCCTGCGGTCAAGGACACCGTGAGCAGGTACCTGGAGTCAGTGAAGCCCTTGATGAAGGAAGATGACTTCAGGCGCATGACCGAGCTGGCCCAGGATTTCGCTGTCACTCTGGGGCCAAAATTGCAGTGGTACTTGAAGCTCAAATCCTGGTGGGCAACGAACTACGTCAGTGACTGGTGGGAGGAGTACATCTACCTCCGAGGACGGGGACCCCTGATAGTCAACAGCAACTACTATGCCATGGACTTACTGTATGTGGTGCCCACGCACATCCAGGCGGCCAGAGCGGGCAACGCCATCCACTCCATCCTGCTCTACAGACGCAAGCTGGACCAGGAGGAGATCAAGCCCATCCTGCTCCTGGGCTCCACCATCCCGCTCTGCTCCGCGCAGTGGGAGCGAATGTTCAACATGTCCCGGATCCCAGGCGAGGAGACAGACACCATCCAGCACGTCAGGGACAGCAGGCACATCGTGGTGTACCACAGAGGCCGCTACTTCCAAGGTCTGGCTGTATCACGACGGCCGGCTGCTGAAGCCCCAGGATATCGAGCAGCAGGTGCAGCGGATCCTGGACGACCCATCCGAGCCCCAGGACGGGGAGGCCAAGCTGGCTGCACTCACTGCCGGGGACAGGGTGCCCTGGGCCAAGTGCTGCCAGACTTACTTTTCCCGTGGGAAAAACAAGCAGTCTCTGGACGCTGTGGAGAAGGCCGCGTTCTTCATCACGCTGGACGAAACTGAGCAAGGCTACACAAAGGAGGACCCCATCACGTCCATGCACAACTACGCCAAGTCGCTGCTGCATGGCCAGTGTTCCGACGGGTGGTTTGACAAGTCGTTCACATTCATCGTCTTCAAAAACGGCAAGATGGGCATGAATGCGGAGCACTCGTGGGCGGACGCCCCCATTGTGGGCCACCTGTGGGAGTACGTCATGTCCACTGACTGCTTCCAGCTGGGCTACGTGGACGACGGCCACTGTAAGGGGGACACCAACCCCAACATCCCGTACCCGACCAGGCTGCAGCGGGAGATCCCAGAGGAATGTCAAGAGGTGATAGAGACATCCCTCAACGCTGCAAGTCTCCTGGCCAACGACGTCGATTTTCACTCTTTCCCGTTTGACACCTTCGGGAAAGGTGCAATCAAGAAGTCGCAGACCAGCCCGGATGCCTTTGTCCAGCTGGCCCTGCAGCTCGCCCATTACAAGGACATGGGCAAGTTATGCCTGACATATGAGGCCTCCATGACCCGACTCTTCCGAGAGGGGAGGACAGAGACCGTGCGCTCCTGCACCACTGAGTCCTGCAACTTCGTGCTGGCCATGGTGGACCTGCACCAAACGGTAGAACAGCGGCTCAAGCGCTTCAAGATCGCCTCTGAGAAGCACCAGCTGTTGTACCATCAGGCGATGACCGGGGCTGGCATTGACTGCCATCTCTTCTGCCTCTATGTGGTGTCCAAGTACCTGGCTGTCAACTCCCCGTTCCTCAAGGAGGTCTTATCTGAGCCTTGGAGGTTGTCAACCAGCCAAACCCCTCAGCAGCAAGTGGAGCTGTTCGACCTGGAGAGGAATCCAGAATATGTGTCCAGCGGCGGGGGCTTTGGACCGGTCGTTGACGATGGTTACCGGGTGTCCTACATCCTTGTGGGAGAGAATCTCATCAACTTCCACATATCTTCCAAGTTCTCCTGCCCTGAGACCGACTCTCACTGATTTGGGAAGCACCTGAAACAAGCCATGGCGGACATCATCAGCCTCATTGGGTTCAGTTCTAACTCTAAAAAGTAATTCCATTTGTGCTGCTGCGGAGGGAGTGAGCTCTTCTCACGAAAACCAAACAAAAAGTCCATATTAATCCTGAGGGTAGTTTGGAGGGGGGGGGATTGCTCTTCCAAAAAAAAACACGGAAGTCTTTGTGGCAAGGGTTTGTCATTTTTGTTTCTCTAGAATAGTAGTGAAGTCTAACTCTGCCACTTCCGGCCATGCCTTTGCACCACTGAGGGGTCTCTCCAGGACCTGTGCTCAAGTCCCCCAAAAGTCAGGGCGTCGTCGGTGTCTGTTGAATGACTGGAATGTGACTTCACATCTGGTGGAAGCAGAAGCCACAGGCCCCCTGGGTTGTGGCTGCATACCTGGGCCTCAAGGGCATCTCTTTCTAGAGCATCTGTGTGTTTGCTTTGAGAGCAAAGTGCCCTTGCTAGCTGAGCGTGCTGTGCTTCCAGCACAGGCTGTTCCCAGGGCAGCCCTGCCCTTCTCCGGTCAGGCATTCAGTGTTTGCTGCTGCTGTTTTTGACAAGTAGTGGTCATGTCTGTAGTTTTCCTGACCTGGTATGTCTTCAAAACCCAGTGCCTTAAACACAAAAGGCCCTAAATCCATGGGAGACTGTGACAGATCTCTTGTGGAATTGAGTGTGTGGCTCCCTCCTCAGTCGAACTGAGTGCAAACAGCCCCCTATCTGCTTTCCCCAGTGTTTGCCTCCTACCCACCCATACCAAGACCCTTCTGAAGGCAGCTGTGCTGGGTCCCCTCATTGGAAGGCCTCCCTTTCACAACTGAATACTAGAACTAAGAGGCAACAATCCAGGGACAGAAGGACAGTGTGTCCTGGGTTCCCCAGAGAATAAACTAGAACGTGTGCCTTGGGGATGCGGTAACTTACCCAGGCAGCCAGTGAGGAGAGCCTAAGACTTACCCCAAGAAAGGAGCAAAGCCAGGAATCCTTGATCCCACCTTGGGAGAGAGACTACCACTCCAAGGGTGTCAGGCCACCACCAGGCACAACGTCCTCGCCAAGCTGGACCCACCAGACACAGTAACACACTGACCGTCCTGCAGTATGGGATGCAATAATCAGGTGTCCAGGAATGGCATTCCCATGGCTCCGGGCCGCCATGACAAGCTTGCACACCCACAGCTGTAACTGTATTTATTCTCGTGACCACTTTGGTTCTTGCTGTGGGGCTGTCTCCCTGGGTTTCTGCCGTCAGGTGCCACAAGCGTGGGGGCTGAGCTGGGGAGCGGCCAGGTGCAGATGTGATGCTTGCTAAACAACATAGGCATCTCTTACGGATGTATATTTTGTAATGTAAAAATCCCACTGAAATGGACCAAAGATGTTTCTCCCCCTTCTAAAAACAAGAAAGGAAAATAAGCTGCAAAAATAGGAACCACAGTAACCACCCTCCCCTGTCCCTCTGTGGCTCAAAGTCATCAGCTTTGGGGCGAAACGTGGCTTCCAATCAAATGCCGCAGCCCGCCACCACCATCACAGGTCGCAGCCAGACTGCTGTCAGGACCACTGACTCGTCTCATCCCGACTCCACAGCGGCAGTGGGCGTGACGTGTCCTTGCACTGTTGTGGGTCTTCAGTGTCTCGTCAATCAGCGCAGTTATCAAGGCAATTTTATACTCCTTATCAGATGAAGAGTGGGTTCCACTGAGCAGGGGTGGGGGTGAGAGAATTCTGTACTTAACGCGGGCCTTGTCACAGTCCTGACGGAGCTGTTGGCCACCCTTGGCTGTGGCCAGTCCAGTCACAGTACATAGACTCTGATCTCTGGTGTGTAAATAGTAGAAACACACAGTGTGAATGTAGGTTCTCATTAATAAAATTATTAATCTGTCAAAAAAAAGAAATAAAGATGTTTCAGTTCATGTATGAAACGATAAGAAGAGGAGCATTTTAAGAAATCCAACCTCTGAAGAATGGCTCAAACTCTGTTGAGTACATAATATTCTTCTTATGTTTGTAAATAAACTTATCTACATGAATCCTGATGCCTCTTCTGTGAAATATGGAGTGTGTTAATAGACCATGTGCTTAGTTTTTATTTTTGTAATATTTCAGTAGTAATGGTTTCTTTATGAAAATATGTGTATAGTTTGGTTGTTTCCTGGTCTTAAACTGTGTGATTTTATTTAATTTATTTATTCCTAGACCAGAACTTTGTTGATAGTTTTATGTTACAAAAAACAAATATAAAATTTTGGTTTTCCTATAATTATATGTATAGTTGGGCTTTGTTTTTTTTTCTTTTCTACTTAAAGGAGGAGGATTTACATTGATATAAACTGGGGATTTCCCCCCCTCCATGTGTGATGATTATTACTCATGAGGAAAAACAATAGTGCATATATTTTCAAGTTTGGCTAATCACATTTCCAAGGTTTTCACTTTCCTTAGGTCTATAAACCTAAAACTGAAATTTTTGCCATGACATCTAACCAGTATTAATTTAGTTAGACCAAATAAAACTAGAATGTTAAAAAAAATGAAAAAAAAAAAAGCCAGAAAGAGATCAGAAGGAACTATGAAACTAGTCCTTGGCTCAGAGATGCTAAAATGAAAACAAATGAAAGATTTACTTTTGAACTCAGAGATACTAAAGTAAAAGAAGGAAATAAAAGAGTTACACAGACAATTTTGTGGTTCAAATCCACCAGATGCTGTGCTGAAAAAGGATGGACAATCTCTTCCTGTACCAGTCAGATTTGATTTGACGGTACACACATAATAAATAATAACATTTTTTTAAAAAAAGAGTTACACAGACAATTTCAAAGGGCAGCTTGAGAAGACAAAGCAAGTAGAGTGGAATGTGTAAAACTTAAAGATAGAAAACCAAAGAAAAGAACAAACGGAAAGAACTGAAGAGAAAATTCAATCCTTGAATTGCAATGCTAAAAGTCAGTATGGGTAAAATATTGAATGACACAGAAAGCATCAACAGCTCGGATCCTCGCTTCCAACATGACGAAGAAAAGGAGAAACAACGGTCGTGCCAAAAAGGGCCGCGGCCACGTGCAGCCTATTCCCTGCACGAACTGCGCCCGGTGCGTGCCCAAAGCAAGGCAATTAAGAAGTTCGTAATCCGAAATATAGTAGAGGCAGCTGCTGTCAGGGACATTTCCGAAGCGAGTGTTTTCGACGCCTATGTGCTTCCAAAGCTCTATGTGAAACTGCACTACTGTGTGAGTTGTGCCATTCACAGCAAGGTCGTGAGGAACCGTTCTCGTGAAGCCCGAAAGGACCGGACACTTCCACCTAGATTTAGACCTGCAGGTGCTGCCCCACGACCACCACCAAAGCCTATGTAAGGATTTGATTCCTTAAAAGGCTGAAGAAAAAACTCGTCTGAAAATAAAATGGAAATTACACTTTAAAAAAAAAAAAAAAGAAAGCATCAACAGATGATGTAAGGAATACATAGAATCACCATACCAAAAAGAATTGGCTGACACCAAACCATTTCAGGAAGTAGCCTATGAAATCAATAACCAAAGATAATACAGGGAGAGATCTGAATTATACTGAAGACAGTTAAAAATGTTGCTATTGTACCATTGAGTCAGAACTTACTCATAACTGACTCTCAAGAAAGATTTTAAAGGCAGTGAATCTCATGAGAGGAGATTGCTCATCTTTTTTCTGAGGTGGATTCAAACCACATGCCTTTGGGTTGGCAGTGCAACTACTCACCACTAAGCCATTTTTTGTTAGGTGTGGTCAAGTCAAATATGACTCATAGCAACTCTATAAACAACAAATCTGAACCTTGCCCTATCGTATACCCTCCTCATCATCTCTGACACACTTGAGCCCACTGCTGCAGTCACTGTGTCAATTTCTTTAAAGGTTTTCCTTGTCTTTGCTGACTCTCCACATTTCCAAGCATGATGTTCCTTTCCAAGGAATAGTTCCTCCTAACAACACGTCCAAATATGAAAGAGGAAGCCACTGTTGTTATGTGCCGTTGAATTGACTATGACTCATATAGACCCTGTCTGTGCACAATAGCTCTGAATCCTGCTCTAGCCCAAGACAATCTCATTGTCTCTAACACACTTACCTGTATTACCCCAGTTATTGTGTCAATCTATCTCTCCTGCACTGTCCCTTGATCCTTTCAAGTCTGATAAACTTTCTCCAAAGACTGGATAACACTGGCAACATGCCCAAAGTATGTGAGAAGGAGTCTCAAAATCCTTGTCTCCAAGGAGCAGCTTGGTTTCACCCTCTCCAAGACAGACCTGTTAGTTCTCTTGGCAGTCCATGATACGTTCAATACTCTTCACCAGCACCACAACTCAAAGACATTAATTCTTCTGTTATCTTTGGTCATTGTCTAGCTCTCTAATGCATAGCAAGTAATTGCAAAGACCATGGCCTGGATCAGGTGCACCTTAGTCTCTACACTGACCTTCTTGCTCTTCAATACTCTGGAGAGGTCTCTGACAGCAGATTTCCCTAATGTAATTTTTCTTTTAAATTCTTAACTTCTGATACCAAGAGTGTTGATTGAGGAAGCCACTAGGTCCCAGAAATTGATGGAATGCCTTGCAGTATTCACTTGTCTATGCCAAAAAAATTTGAAAGATAACTACCCGGCCAACTGCCAAAAAAAGAACTATGCTTTTTCCTCATTTGAAACCCCCCTACAAAGAACTCATATCCAATGGAATGTGGAAATTACCAAGCAATATAATTATTATCACACAAGTAAAATTCCACTAAGCACTTCTCATTTAAAAAACAGCTGGCATTACTAACAGAAACCCAACCAACAGCTGGCACAGAAAGCACATCCTCAGAAAACAGCCAATAATTCAAATGGGATACAGAAGTTGTGGCATGAAGGATATTATTGCTGATGTTAGATGAATCTTGGCTGAAAATGAGAATCCCTGCAAGATTTCTTATTGTGTTTTACTGACTATACAAAAAAACCCAAAACATTTAACTATGTTGTTGTTATTATGTGCCATCAAGTCACTTGTGACTCATAGCGACCCTTTGTACAACAGCCATAAACCCTGCTCTGTCCTGAGCCAATCTCACTGTCTCCGACACACCCACACCGATTATCCCAGTCACTGAATCAATCCGCCTCATAGAGGGTCTTCCCCTCCTGCGCTGTTCCCCCACCCTCCCAAGCATGATGTCCCTCTCCAAGGACCAGTCCCTCCCTACAACATGATCAAACTATGTCAGACGAAGCCTCAGAATCCTTGCCTCCAAGGAGCAGCCCGGTTTAACCCTCTGCAGGTTGAACCTGTTTGTTTTCCTAGCAGTCCATGGTACCCCTAATACTCTTCTCCAGCACCACAGCTCAAAGGCATCAATTTTCCTACTATCCTCCCTAGTATAGCTTGTATCAGGTGCCCCTTAGTCTCCAGAGTGACACCATTTCTCTTCAGCACTTTGGAGAGGTCCCTAACAGGAGACTTTGCCGTCGCAATGCATCTTTTGATTTCCTGGCTGTTGGTGCCCTAAGTGTTGACTGTGGAGCCAAGCAAACTAAAGCTGTGAGCAATCTCAATCTCTTTACCATCCGTCCTGATACTGCCAATTGGTCCAGTGGTGAGAGTCTTTGTCTTCTTGATATTGAGCCTCAATCCATATTGAAGGCTGCAGTCCTTGACCCTCTGCAGCAAGCACTCAGGTTCTCCTCAGTTTCAGCAAGCAGGGTTGTGTCATCTGCATAACGCAGATTGTTGATGGATCTTCCGCAAATCCTGATGCCACATTTCTCCTCATAGAGCTCAGCCTCCCGGATAATCTGTTTTGCATAGCTCTGGTAGCCTAGTGGCAAGAAACTGCACTGCAATCCCAGAGGTATATGGTTTGAATCCACCAGACGCCCTGCTGGAGAAGGAGGGGCAATCTCCTCCTGTACCAGTCAGATCCGATTTGACAGTACACTAAAAAAAAAATTAAAAAAAAATTTAACTACATAGAACATAATAAATCATCAATAACATTGAAAAGAATGGGAATTTCAAAATACCTAACTATGCTCCTGTAGAACTGTGCACTAACCAAGAAACAGTCCTTCAAACAGAGCAAGGAGATAATGCATGATTTAAAATCAAGTGTTTGCATCAGGGTTGTATGCTTTGATCATACCTATTACATCTGTATGCTGAGCAAATAATTTGAGAAGTTGGACTATATGGAGAAAAATGTGGCATCAGGATTGGAGGAAGATTTATCATCAATGTGATATGCAGATGACAAAACATGCAAAAAATAAAGAAGACTCAAAGCATTTACTGAAGATAAAAAAATATAGCATTCAATGTGAATTACATCTCAATGTCAAGAAAACAAAAATCTTCACAAGTGGACCAATAGGTAACATCATGACAGATGGAGAAAAGATTGATGTTTTATTTGGATCTACAATCACCATCCATGGAAGCAATAGTAAAAAAATCAGAATAGGTGTTGCCAACCACGAGCTATGTTATTAAAGACTTGAATGCTGCTTTCTTACTAAAGATTTCAGCAGAGTTTTCAGACAAAATGGATTATAAAATTTGGTGATCTCCTTCTGAAAGTCAGCCAGTGACACAATGGCTCACAATGCGAAAAGCAAGCAATGGCTCTGTGATCACAAAGGTGTGTTCTAAGTCATCGGGGGATGGATAACTGGCCAGCAGTTTGTTATATTATGCATGGGACCACTATTCTCTGGAAAGAAACATTATACTTGGAATAATGGAGGGTCAATGATCCTCAATGAAATGGATTGACATGGTGACTTCAGCAATGGGCTCTTGTTGTTGTTATGCGCCCATTGAGTCACTTGAGACTCATACCGACCCTATGTACAACAGCTCTGAACCCTGCTCTATCTTGAACCAATTTCATTGTCACCAACACATCTACCCCCATTACCCTAGTCACTGAGTCAATCCATCTCATCCAGGGTCTTCCTCTCTTGCACTCTCCCTCCACCCTTCCAAGCATGATCTCCTTCTCCAAGGACTGGTCCCCCTGGCCATATGCCAGGATATGTCAGATGATATGTTAGCTGAAGCTTCAGAATCCTTGACTCCAAGGAGCAGCATGGTTTCACCATCTCCTCGACAGGCTTATTTGTTCTCTCAGCAGTCCAAAGTAAATTCAGTATTCTTTTCCAGCATGACAACTTATAAGCATTGGTTCTTCTATCTTCCTTAGTCGTTGTGAAGCTTTTTGATACATTGAAAGTAGCTGTGAAGACCATGGCCTGGATCAGGCACATCTTAGTCTCTAGAATAACATCATTGCTCTTTAGCACTCTGGAGGAGTCCCTGACAGCAGATTTTCCCAACACAATTTGTCTTTTGATTTCCTGGCTGCTGGAACTAAGAGTGTTGATTGTGGAGCCAAGCAAGCTGAAGCTGTTAAGAATCTATCTCTTCTCCAGCTATCATGATGTTGTCAGTTGGCCTAGTGGTGGGCTTTAGTGTGTAGGAAATGCTGAGACTGACACAACATAGGACAGGGTTCAGGTCAGCTGTTCGTAGGATCACTATGAGCTGTACTCAACCTGACAGCATCTAACAACAACAACAACTATGATCAGCATCAGTTAATAACAAGAACACAGAGAATATAAAGTGACTTTCAAATGTTAAACCAATTTAAATGGTCACAGCAATGTCTTTGAGCAGAGTAGAGATGGCGATAAAGGTGCAAATAGGGTGAGGTTTCCATCTGTTGATCTGTTGTTCTAGGGACGCTGTGAGTAGCAGTAGTCAATTGTGCTGTTCTCCATTGAAGCAGTCTGTCACTTTTCAACAAAACTATGTTTCACTTTAATAAAATCTAGAGTTTTCTCTCCCTCATCCTGGCAGACGCGAAGGTCTCTTGCTGTGAGTAGTCCTGAGGAATTGAAATTTGGAACGTCAATATTTATGTTCCTCTGGAGTCACCTCAGGTCAATCTAGACCGAACTCCACTCTTTTTGAGTAAAATTCCTTAAAACTTTTTTGGTTGTTTGGAAAACCAGAAAATGATGGCAAATTCACAGTAAATTACGTTTGACTGCTCCCTAGTGGTGGTCCTAAGTAAAATAGCTCCTGGATTAATTCTCTCCCGCCGTTTTCAGTTAAGTACAACTGTTGTTGTTGTTGTTGTTATGTACCGTAGAGTTGTTTGCGACTCACAGCGACCCTATGTACAACAGCTCTAAACTCTGCTCTGTCCTGTGCCAATCTCATTGCCTCCGACACACTCATCCCGATTGCCCCAGCCACCGAATCAATGCATCTCCCAGAGGGCCTTCCCCTACT